AGAAAGAAGAAGAAGAAAGGTTCGTGGTGAGCCCAAGGTTTCAGCTGAACAACACACCCGATGAAGATTCATCGGATTGGTTTCACTCACCAGGCGTGCCGACGCCGATTGTATCGCCGAGAGAAATCTCGTAGCAGCCCATATCCGCCAGCTTCTTTGCAACGCGTGCCACAACCGCGGGGTCAATCGCACCGTCGAAGGGGCACCCAATCACGCACGAGACGTAGCTGTTTCAAGCGCCAACCACGCCAATAAGTGTCAAAGGTAAACACTCAAGCTCGCGATCTCGCATGGAGACCAAGAGCAACAACCCAGCGAGCGATATAGGCGTACCCACGAACGGCAATATCGTGCTTTTTGGCAGCGTCGACAACGACCTGAAACTTTTTCAGGGATTCGTCAATGGTCGCGTTAATGTTCTTCTTGCTGAACGCCTCGGACGCAGCGCCAAAGATGGCAACCTCCTTGGCACCCGCTGCAAGCGCGGCCTCAAATCCTTGAATGTTTGGCGTGAGCACCGGGTACGACACGCCAGGAACGCGCTCGATCGAGGCCATAACTTCAGCGTGATCTGCCATCTACACACGCCAAAACATCCAAAAAATGGAACAAGTATACAGAGATGAGACCCAATGTTCAATGTTTTCAACCACGAGCATCATTCTGAGAAGCTCAGTAGAGATTTCGCGACGGCTTTTGCGACAATCCAAGCGCTTCCAGCAGATCGATATTTCTACCCGTATATCGCACTAGCTCGATACATGTACTACGAACTGATAGCCTCCCCCAATGTATACGGAGGGTCATCGTGGTCATCTTTCGCACGTATTTAGGGACTGATCGTGCGTGACTTTGGCGAGATTTCCAGCCGACATATCAAGCATCGCTCACCTGCGGGATCCACTTTGGGGAGACAAAGCTTGTTGTCTCGACGACCTTGAGGCCCGAGTGGCTGAGCTGGTTGATGAGGTTAACCTTGGCTGCAGTCGGGACGAGCTGCTTCTCGTTCTGCAGGCCATCGCGCGGTCCGACCTCGACAATCTTGACGTGCGACGGCAAGTTCCGCACACGAGGAGCTGATCCAGCATTCGACGCGGCAGTGGCAGCGGCGAGGCGGACGGACTGCGCCGAGGTCGTCAATGCACGGCGTGCAATGGTGGATCCGAGCATGATCAAGAAAAAGCGTGAACTGAGCGACTGAGCAGTTTTACGAATTAAGATGGAGTTTTGTTTTGATCGCAGAGGACACTGATGCAGCTATTACAGTGAGCTGGACGGACGAGCGGTAGGATGTCGAAGAGTCGGATCACACTCACGGCAAACCGACGAAAGCGATCGAGTCAATGCACTTCCTTCCTTCCTTCCTTCTTATAAGATACATTAGAGCTTGTTGACTTGTCTAATTCTGATTCAGACTGTATTGTGTAGTGTGCGATCAGTCCCCATCATCGCATCGAAACCTTGCCTTTGAGTTTCTCATTGAAGCAAGCCGACCGTCGACGTTGAAACACAGTTCCACCGAAGCCCCCTCCCACCCCCCGTTTCCCGCCACCAGATCGCGCACGGACTTGACTGAAGCAAGATGGCGTTTGTGCGCGCGCGTGAGCAGGACGAGCAGGGCTTGTCGGCCGTGTCGCAGCGGTTTTCGCTGCTGCTGCTCGAGCACAACGAAGCCTACCTTGAGGACTTTTCCGTCTTCTACTACCCGGCTGCAGCGACCGAGGACGAGGCTGTGCGCAGGTCAGGCCATTGAGGACTTTTTACTTGTGCTGCTTGGAAGACGAGCGAACCAAGGGGAACAAGATACAAGATCGAGAGATAGAGACACAGACAGATAGATAGGGCGATCGGTTTTTGGTTCCAATTGAACAAAGCCATTGCTGCGGGAGTATCATCGTGATCAGTGAACAAGACTCAGTCACTGCAAGGGCGGAAGGTCATTGGGGGGGGGAGAGAGATGAAGAGAGAGAGAGAGAGAGAGAGAGAGAGAGAGAGAGAGAGAGAGAGAGAGAGAGAGAGAGAGAGAGAGAGAGAGAGAGAGAGAGAGAGAGAGAGAGAGAGAGAGAGAGAGAGAGAGAGAGAGAGAGAGAGAGAGAGAGAGAGAGAGAGAGAGAGAGAGAGAGAGAGAGAGAGAGAGAGAGAGAGAGAGAGAGAGAGAGAGAGAGAGAGAGAGAGTAAGAGAGAGAGTAAAAGAGAATGGGGACAATAAAGGCGGCTTTGGTCATGGGTCGTAGTGCCCTTGCTATCGAATGGTCATCAGAGTCACCACTCGCCTGGCCTGCCTCACAAGAAGCGGGGAGCAATGCTGCAACGTACTCGAAAATCATGGCATATGCAAGTAGCAAGAATGTGTGGGGGAAGAAGCCGGCGAAGAATGAACAAAAAAAAGGCTGATGCTCAGTCTTTGCTGCTCAGACTGTGTGCAAATATGGCTCTTTATGCTTGTTTTTGCCCCCGATTGCTCATCTATTTCACTTCATGTTCATGTTCTTTCGTTGCTTTTGCTTTTTGCCTTGCTTTTTGCTTTTGCTTTAGGAAACTCGGAGGCCGTTTGAGGCTTTGCTCAATGTCGCTCGTGTTCGACCCGCAGGACGAGGCGTACCCAATCATGAAATTCCCGTTCAAAAAGTGCCGTGGCATTGGCAAGTGGGCGGGCTCGCTCAAGAGTCGACTCGACCTGCGCGGCGATATTCTCGCCGTCGTGGCAGATGAGGTGGTGACGGCGCGCGAGCACAACATTGTGGCGCCGTACACATTCACCAAGGTAATCAACAATGCGAGAGCGAATCATTTCGTGTCGTTAGCATCATGCGGCGACTTTTTTTTTTTTTTTTTTTTTTTTGTGGGTGGCAGACCATGCGCTCACACTTCGTCCCCATCATTGACAGACCCCTGGCGTCGAGTACAAGTTTGCGCTCCGCTATGCACAGTTTGCGCAAGTCTACCCGCAAATCCGAGAGCTATATCGCGTGAGCACACTGTCGACTCGCGAGCGACGACAGGAAATGGCGCTCATTGAGGCGCGGCGGCGAGAGCTCAGTCCCTTCGACCACAGCTGGCTGGAAGACCTCGCTGAGCGCATTGTGACCGAGGTGTCTGTGGACCGCGTCACCCCGCTTGTCAGCAATCGCGGGCGACTGTTGCTGACGAGCTCGCGAATTTACTTCCAGCCATTCAACAATGTCGATCCCGTGCCCGTGCGCAAGTACCGCCTCGGCTCTGTTCAGCGCATTGTGAAGCGTCGCTACCTCTTGCGCCAGATTGTACGTTCGTTCCAGTTTGGGGTTGCAAAGTGCTTGGATGGTTTTTTTGGTTTGCTCATTTTGCGCTGAGTCGTCCAAAACAACAGGGTCTTGAATTGTTCTTAAACAATGATACCAGTCTCTTCTTTGCGTTTGGCTCCCAAGAAGAGCGGGATCGCTTTCACGACCAGCTGTTGCTTCAGCCATGTACGTAGTTAGATGTTGGCAGACTTTTTTTTTTTTTTTTTTCGGCTGAACCATGGCTCATTTTCCACCGATAACTCAATCCATTGTCTTGGGGGGGGGGTGTTTCTTGTTTGCTCTCAATGTTGTGCAGCCATCAACGTTCAGCCCTCGGACACGGAGAACTTGACTTTGAGATGGCAACGGGGCGAAGTGTCAAACTACGACTACCTTTACGCCCTCAACTCGTTGGCCGATCGTAGCGTGAACGATCTGACGCAGTATCCCGTCTTCCCTTGGGTGATCTCAGACTATACCAGCGCTAGTCTTGGTGCGTAGTCTGTCGCAGAGCGAGCCAAAGAAAGAAGGTCAACAAACTCACCGTTTTCTGTCTTTGCTTTTTTGCAGACCTGAACTCGCCGTCCACGTTCCGCGACCTGACCAAGCCCATCGGCGCTCTTGATCCTCAGCGCTTGGAGATGCTCCAAGTGAGTTTTACTTTTTTTTTTTCCCTTCCATCGCCTTCCCGCTGTCGTTCAATTGCTGACTCTTTGTTGTCCATTTTTTTTTGCTTCTGGCTCCAGCAACGCTACGACGAAATGCCAGAACCCAAGTTCTTGTATGGCACCCACTACTCCACGCCTGGTTATGTTCTCTACTACCTCGTTCGTGAAGGTTTGTCATAACGAGGATGTTGCGCGCAGACCGTTCGTCTCGACACTCATTCACGATATTCAACCCTCCCGCCCTCCCTCCCTCCCTTTTGTGACAGCACCCGAGTACATGCTGTGCCTGCAGAATGGTCGGTTTGATCAACCCGACCGCATGTTCTGCAGCGTCGCCGAGACTTGGAAGAGCGTTCGAAGCCAGTCCGGCGATGTCAAGGAGCTGATTCCGGAATTCTACAGCGAGTCGGACTTTCTGCAAAACAAGAACGGCCTCAATCTCGGGATGCGTCAAGACATGTCGCGAGTGAACGACGTTCAACTGCCTCCATGGGCGAAGAGTAATAAGATCGCGACTTTTGTTTTTGGCAGGCATGCCTGCGACCTCAACTCATCCTTTCTTGTCCAATGAATGTTTTCAACAGACGCAAGCGACTTTACAGCGAAGTGCCGACAGGCTCTTGAGTGCGACTATGTTTCTCAGCGCTTGCACCACTGGATTGATTTGATTTTTGGCTACAAGCAGCGCGGTCCTGAAGCTGTCAAGGCAGCCAACTGTAAATTGATGTTGCACGAACAGGAACTTTTTTTTTGTTGAGTGAGATTGCTTGTTGCTCACGACCATCACCTGCGGGCCGCATCCAGTGTTTTACTACTTGACCTATGAAGGTGCTGTTGATCTGGACGCCATCACCGACCCCGTGGAGCGTTCATCGCTGGAAGCTCAAATCCACGAGTTTGGTCAAACGCCCAAGCAGATCTTCACGGCGCCTCACCCAGCCCGCCGAGTTCAATCGAGCGTACGTCTTTTACAACAACTTGATCATTGCTTTGCTCAGACTTGGCGAGCTGCTCCTTCGTGTTGCTGATTTGGTTTTCGTTCGTTTTGCTTGGTTGACACATTTTAGACGGTGAGCGATGCTCCTTTGCCGAGTTCCACCCCAGCAACTCCCACGACGCGCCATGCATGGGGCAACAGCAGTAGCGGCTCAACAGCGACTGACACACCAACTCCTCGCCACGCATGGGGCAGCAGCGCTACCAACTCAGTTGCCAGCGACACGCCGCAACCTGCGCAGATCAACTCGCCCTTGCGCTCGGCCTCTGCCACTGGCTCATCGACCGCATTCTCATTTTCCTCAATGTCGTCTGCGCTGCCGGAACAGCGCACTGCTTTGCCTGCTTCGCCTGCTCCGGCAACTCCCACTCGCACACGCCAAGACGATGATCTTGACTTTGTTTTGAACATGGCCTCTTCCGGGTCTGGCTTTGCAGCGGGGCGATCATCCCTCTCCAGTTCCAGCTTTAGCGAGACCCCAAAGTCCGCATCCGGGGCTTCGACCTTTGCAAACGCGCCCACTCCGACGCGGCATAGCACGAGCAGCGCGAGCTCCGGCCGACCCTCGATCAGCGCAGCGCCGTCTGTCGACACGTCATCGCAAAGTGCGTGGTACTCGAACGTGTTGCAGCTGCGTCTGCAGTCTAGCGCCAAGCTTCACCGGCTGTGAGTAGTTTCCTTTTCCTTTGCGTTGGTGTGGGACCTCCAGCTCGTCTTTATGCCGGCCTGCACACTCACTCCTCCCCCGTCAAACTCTCCTCATTGCAGAAACGTTGCTGCTGTCAAACTGTCCAAAGACGGCGAAACATTGTTCTCTGCTTCACATGACTATTCGCTGAAAATGTTCTCGCTTGCCGACGACCGTCAGTTGCGCAGCATCAACATTTCCGAGATGGCCTTGTCCTCTTGCGCTCTGGATCAAGACGGCAAGGGTGTTATTGTTGGGTCGTGGGACAACAATCTGTACGGCTGACAGCCGTGCGTGTGTGTTTAGGCAGGCTTGGTGGTCGGTCTTTTGTGGCTGACTATCGTTTGGGACACTATGCTTGTCAGATACTACTACTCGATTGAGTTTGGTCGCATCACCGAGTCGTGGAATGGTCACGATGATGCTATTTCCTGCCTGGCGTTGGGTTCTCGCATTTTGATCACTGCTTCTTGGGATTCGACCGTGAAGGTTGGGCCATCATTTGTCTTGCCGCTTCCCATACGCGTCTGTTGTCATCTTTTGTTGCTCAACTTGTCCTTTTCCTTGCCTTGTGATTTTTGTTGCAACCACAGCTCTGGAATGCCGGTAACATCGCGTCCGGACGTCGGGGCTCGATTGGCTCGTCCCTTTTGTGCGAGTTTGTCGATCACGACACGGAAGTGAAATGCGTGGCTATTTCCCCCGATGAGCGAGTCGCGATTTCTGGCGCTGCAGATGGTAGAGTAGAGTTGAGCTTTGTATTGTTGATGGATTGGAATGCAGCGGAGCATTGATTTGCAATTCTCTGGTTTTGACTGTGTGTGCGCAGGAACGGTGATCATTTGGGACCTCGAGTCCTTCTGCCTTGCCAGGACTATATCGGCACATAACGAGGCAATCAATGCGGCCGCGTTCAGCTCTGACGGCTCGCAAATTGTCACCACAAGCAATGATTGCACGGCGAAAATTTTCAACGTCAGCGATGGCCAGCTTGTGTTGTCGGTCACCACCGAAGAGGTCTTCCGGTACGGTTTGTGTTGACAGCAAGTTTTCTGTTCGTTTTTGGTATGTAGTTTCATCTAACGCAGATGTATTCGGGGGTGGCTTTGCACAGATCGTTGGTTTGGGACGACACGATTGTGTTGGCTGGTACTGCTTCTGGAAACCTGGTCGCGTATGACCTGCGCAATAACCAGATGCTGATGACACTCAAGGGGCATGATAGTAAGAGATGGTTGTGATTTTGTGAGAAGATTGGATTCGCCAAAAGTAGGTGTCTAAGCATGCGCATTCACTTGGTTGCTAGGTGCCATCACTTCTATCGATGCTTCCGCTGATGGATCAACTGTGGTGACGGGATCCGAGGACGGAATGGTTCAAAAGTGGCGTGCTTCGGGGTAGCGTTTGTTTCACTCTGTTTTGTCATGCTTTTGTACTTTCATACAACACACCGTCATAACCGACAGTCTTCCTTGCTATTACATGAAACAATATTGTTCTATTTACGACCCACAACAACAACAGCAGCAGCAGCAGCAGCAGAGCAAAACACAGGCTCATGTGTTTTTGGAGACAAAGTCTCGGATTTGTGTCAACAATTCAATCTGAATCACGTCTGGGACGGCCCCTGTGTCAGAATGGCAAGCATGTCAGTTTGAGTGTCAGTCTGAGTGTCAGCCTGAATGGGTTGTACACCAATAGCGCCCTACCTCTTGCTTCCGGGAAGATTTCCTCCACCAACCGATCGACCGTTGCAGCTTCCACACCAACGTGTTGAATCCATGCTACTCAGACAACCACAAACAAACAAACAAACAAAATAATGAGTTTCCTCCCCTCCAATTCAACATGGCTTTCAAAGTTATCATGATCCATTGACTTGGGCCTTGCCAACAACCGACCTTTGCATTGAGCTTTCACATTGTCGCGCCATCCGCAGTCAATCAACCGAGCGCGCAAGAGTTCTTCAATCCTGCATGTTTCCAAATCCACAATCACAATGCATACTGAGTGTTGATTTTGTCCACGAGAAGCTCCCAATCATGATCATGATCATATAGCACAGCTGGTCAAGCCGCGTTCGAGGCGAGCATGCACGCACCGCTTGGCCTCCCCAGACTCGATGAAGGCCTGCTGAATGCGCGAGCGGAGCTGGTCTTCCTTGGACTGACCACCAGCACCAACGGCTGAGCCAGCGGCAGCAGCAGCAGCGGGTTGAGCGTTGGTCGACGAACGCAGCATTGTGAGAGTCCGTGTGTTGCTGTTTAGCTTGGATTGCAGTTGGACTGAGCCCGAGCGTTGTAAAGTGATTGATTCAGCGTTACTTGCTTGTGATGATGATTATAGACAACTCAAAGTACAAGCAACATGACAGAAGGAGAGGCGTGTTTTTGAATGTTCGATTGCTTGATGCAAAGCGTTCCAGACTGCAGTCGACCATTCCTCGAAGTCGTTGTCAATTGAGCTGTTGCACTGCAGCTTGTCCTTCGGAAGCTGTCGTGCTTATTGCAATAAAGGTCGCGGATTGACACTACAGGGAATGTTCAATGTATTCGACAAAACAAAACACAAAAGGAGAGGGGCATCTCGTTTCGTTGGAAAAGATGGTCGTTAATGATACCCAACATTGAGGGGCTTCAAACAGGACATTGCCTGCACGCTTGCTGGGTCGAACCTGAGCTTCCCAACCTCCGCGCATTTGCCGGAGGATGGGATGGCTCGCTGGCAGGACCATCACAAGCTGAATGTTCGAAACGTCGCAAGTTGGTTTCGCCGTGCATCCGTACTGGACAACACCGTGCTCATCTCGAACAATCAGAGCAACACTCTTGTCATCGACTTTGTCGGGACGGTCCATCCAGTCACGCCGAGTGCAAACAGCTAATTCAACATGCGTCATGCATGATAAAGTCTTTTGGATTGGGAACATCGATCGGCACCGAGATCCTGAGCCGCTTCATCAGATCTCGGCAAGCCTTGCGTTCACTGGAGCCAAACTCGGTACAGAGAAATTGCTCTTGTAGCCCAGCTTGCACGGGTGGCCGTCGAAGATTCGGATCCGTGGCGAGTTTCGGGAAGGCCTCAAGGATTCTTCGCATGGTCACCACCGCGCGGTTTCCCAGTGGCGGAAAGGCGACTAATGCGCAGACGCGAGCGCATGCTCGCAAGTATCGCAACGCTTCCTCCGGACCGACAACTTCCCACACTTGGAGAGTGTCAATCACACAGCATGCGCGGAAGACGACCTGAACGCCTGGGTTTGACGTATACACATTGGTCTCGGTTTCAAGCGCGTCGATAAGCGCCGCGAACAGTTGAGAGCGCACTATTTCGTCGATGACACGCTGCTGATGATTCGGTGTTGATGGCGAACTATGATTGAACCCCCAATTCTGGAGCAGTAAGCCAGCAGCATTCAAGTCGAGCACTTTGACTTTTGAATCGAAGAGTTGAAGCAAACTACAGCCCGGCTGCTGCTGAGGCCACCCCTCGAACTGCAGCAAAAACTCGTTCAAGCTTGAATTGTTGTGAACCCAGTAGCCAAGAGTACGACAGGCAAGTGCGGAAAGCGATGTGCTCTGCATCACCTTGCAAACGAGGATGATGGCAACCTCTTTCATGTTGACAATGTTCTTACAAACGTCGGGACCGGTGAGGAAAATGCCACTCAAAAGTCGAAGCAATGGCTCAATTGTGCCAGATTGTTGGGACGCCACTTCTTGAAACCATTTGGCCAGCTCGGTGGAGCCGGGATATGGATTCCATTGCCAAACGTAGGAAGCTCCTTGCTCGTTCGACTCGTTCTCCTCAGTATCGAGGGCACTAAAGTTGCTGTTGCTGTTGTTGTTGGTGCTGTTGCTGTTGTCGTTGGTGCAGCAGCTGTTGTTGTCATCGCTGCTACTGCTGCTGCTGCCTTTCGTCAATGGTACCGTGTCGCGGATGGAGCGGTGATTCGAGCTGGTCGTTGCACCCTCTTGTTGATGCTGCTGCGCTTTGGCGAATGCGATTTTCCCGTTCTCATTGCGCACTGCATCGTGAAGCGCTGAAAGAAACCTCTCCAACGGCTGAGTGACTTCTTTTCGGTCGATGGTCGGCTCGAAGCGTCGGCGATAGCACATTAGCCACTGGGTGTACAGCAATTTCTCGAGTGTGTGCATGCTGGTGGTGGGATCACTGGACTGGAAGCCTGGAGGGGAGAACTGTTGAAGCTCCTCAAGTCGACTAGCCTGAGGCGGCATCGTCTCCGTCAACGTCTTCTCCAGTCCAACCCGCTTCAGGTGGCCAAATATGTTGACATGTAGCATATGAGTCATCTCAATGCTCGACCACTGGCGGAACCCGCGGGACTCGGGTGTCGGCCACGAATCGGCAATCGCTTGTGCGCCAGCGTCACCAATCTGATTCAGGTACATGCTGCAATCCCCGCTATTCGTGAGCATCCTGGATGTTCTCTGATGAAATCAAGAGTCAAAATGTCTTACCAGAGCTCAGTCAGCGTCGTGTTCACTGTGAGCGCCTCAGCAAGTGCTTGTGCGCCGGCGTCGCCAATCTGATTGTTTTGCAGACTGCCGGCCTCGATCTGTGAGCGCCTTTGATGACCTCGATCATTTCCCCCCCCCCAAACTCACACGCATCAATACAAGTGCGTTTGCTTACGCGAGCCTCTTCAGTGTCGTGTTCACTTTGAGCGCCTCGGCAAGTGCCCGGACACCCGCGTCGCCAATCTGATTCTCAGGCAAACTGTGTTTCCCCCACCCCCGCGCCGCAGCAGTAAGCTCTCTGAAAGGACCTCTGTTGGATCATCCACTCGCATAAGTCCAAAGGGAGATGACCACTGACTGCAGGATGATCAGCGACTTGTTGACCTTGAGTGCCTCAGCAATCGCCCGCGCTCCGGCATCACCGATGAGATTCTCGCCCAAACTTTGCATTCCCTCTGTCAGTGAGCACACTCTGAATGCCATCTGCAGCAGAGACATGCACCAGGAATGAACGCGAGATGCCTTACTGGAGCATCGTCAGCGTCGTGTTCACCTTGAGAGTCTCAGCAATCGCGCGCGCTCCATCGTCGCCAATCTTGTGAAATTGCAAGCTGCCCCCCTCCATCAGTGAGCCACTCTGAACGCCGCTTTGCTGAGATCATCGCATACAAGCATCACATATGAATGAGATGCTTTTTACAAGAGTTCCTCCAGCAGCGGGTTGTACTTGAGTGCGTTTGCAACTGCCTGCGCTCCAGCATCGCCCATCTTAGGAAACCCCAGACTGTCCCCCCATTTCGTCAGTACACATCGCGCTGTCCACACCGTGCTCCAAACAAAAGAGAACAAAGCAAAGGCGCCCCCCCCCCCTTTTTTTTGGCGTTTGCTTACACAAGGATTCGAGACGCACAAATGACTTGGCTGAACAACGTGTCCTGTTTCGCAGTCGTGTTCGGCAACGAAAACATTGGTTGCTTGCAAGACAAAAGCCAACAAAACAATAATCAAGACTGCCCTTTCCACCATTCTTTATTTCGTAGTTCTGATTCATTGCCGATCCTTCTTTCCATCTTCAAACCAGCAAAAGTCTCCTCAAACAACGCAGAGGAGCGACGGACAATCGCTCGCGACTGACATCTCTGTGAGACTCACATTTGCGACTGGCATTTGCAGCTCGTGAGTGAGTGAGTGAGTGAGTGAGCGGTTGAGGCCCTTCCCAGTGGAGTCTGAGCCGTTTGGGGGACCAAAAACAACCACAGCAGCGCAAACAACATGTCCCAGCTACTGCATCCCGCTGAGCCCGCTCGGCGCCACTTTGCACCGACGACCTCGTCCTCCTCTGCTACTGCTTCTACTGCTTCTACTGCTTCTGCATTCGCTCTGATCGACGATGACGATGGCGGCGGTGGTGCGGACGACGATGAGGATGGCCGCCGTGGCGCAGCGGTCGCATCGCAACTCCGACAGCAGAGCACTGGTCACGCCCGTCCAGTCCGCTCTGGCACCAACACCAACACCACGGCCACGACCACTGCCAACACACATGCCAACACCAGCACTGCTTCGTATCCTGCAACAGCAGCTCTGCGAGCAGCGGCGGCGTCGTCGTCGTCCTTGTCGTCGCCGTCCTCTTCGTCGTTGCTCGCTGCGACCTCTTCCTCCTATTCGGCCTCGCCTTCGTCCTCGTCCTTGGCTTCGTCCTCGTTGGCAGCATCGCCTCAAGTAGCATCATCCTTGCTGTCGCCTGGCTCTGTTGGCGGTGGCGCTGTCGTCGTCGTGACTCGCCCAGCAGCTGCAGCGGTATCCTCGTCGTCGTCCTCCGAAGCCGAGTCTTCATTGTCCGAGCTTACCACTGCATTAGCGTCGAACGGAGCACTGATGCAAGAGCAACAACAAGCTCAAGAGCAAGG